TTAGGATTATTGTTAATAATTATGAGAGAGTTCCAGCATTCGGAAAATATCTTCACTACTCTTCTCAAATCAACACTTCAAAAAAGAACAAGAACTAACTGATCTCTACTTCAACCTAGGATTAATTCACATCAGAAGCGAAGATTTCAGAAAAGTACTATCAATATACAAAAAAGTACTTGAAATTCGAGGAAAATATCTTCCTTCCAATCATGAAGATCTAGCTACAGTTTACAACACCATCGGTGGCATATACGAATCATTAGCGGAGTACTCGAATGAAATGTTTTTCTATCGCAAGCCTCTTTACATCTATCAGAAAAGCCATTCTTCAAATTAGCAATACATGCCTATTTATACAGTAATATAGGCTCTCTACAAAAAGTTATGGAAACCTATTCCAATATGCTCTCGATATCAAATGTACATATCTTCCTGCTAATCAACCATATTTTGATGTTACCTATAGTAATCTCAATACTTTGTATTGTCAAATCAAAGAGTATCAAAAAGCAATGACACTTTTTCAGAAGTTTCTTTCAATTCTAGAAAAAATTCTTCGATCCAACCATCCGGCTTTAGGTCTAATATACAAAAATATTGATTTCATATATGACAAGATAAGAGACTCTACTAGCTATAGTAACTTTTGTATGTTACATTATACAGGAGGAGATTTTCCAAAATCACTTGAAATTCAAAAAGAATACTATCTACCTGATCATCCTACTCTAAGTCAATCGTACAACACTTAGGAGACCATTTGAAGGTCCTGTTCTGGTTTTGCAATGCACTTAACATAGAGCAAAAGTCTTTGACAGCCAATCATCTATTTCTAGCTATCACGTATGGCAACGTCGTTCTAATGCACTATTGGGAAGGTGCTGTCATCAGAGCAATAAGGTTCTATCAAAAAAACACTAAAAATCAAGCGAATCTATCTTTCTTCGAACTATTCATCATTGGTTATTGATCACAACGATGTCGCCGTCCTGCTAGAAAAACTTCAAAATCACAAGGCGTCTGTTGAACATGTGAGATATGCTATCGCAATAAGTAATTGTGCTTTGGGACCAGTGCAATCCAATGTTCAAGAATACCAACAAAATCTTGACAGAATTCGTCAGAAACTTTGATTTGTTTCGGAGTCAAGCAAGTGCCAGTATGCCTCTTCTTGTCAGCCACTCCTTCATCTGTACTCACCTACTCACATACACTATGAAATAAATTGAATCAGATTAGCTTCAGATAATTTCGTTACAAAGGTGGGTGTGTGCAGAACAATATACTGACTATTTGGAGCACGGCATTGAGCAGAAATGGACAAGGTTTGGTGATTGATTTCTATTCTCAAAAAAAAACTTCTGCAACTAAATTCGATGGCATATCATGTCTGATGAGCTTGCACTAAATAGTAATGTCCAATCTCTTCAAAAGTGAACATCAATCAAGAATTCAACGAGAAACGAGTAAGGATTTTAGCAAGAGCCTATCATAGAAAAGACTACATGATAAGTCTGTGGATGCAGGAAAAGCTCTTTTCTCATCAAATTATTCTCAACTCTACGCAATCTTATTGAATTCTGATTTTTTTGAAATTTCGCCAACTTTCTGATTGTCTTTTTATAAATCAACTAAAATCGTTCTAGCTGAAAAGTCAGAAGAAAATGATTTTTAGATCTAATGATGTAGGTGGCAGTGTCAGTGTGTTAAGAAGGGAATCAGTAACATCCACTTGCAAACATACACACAACTTTCGATCAAGAAACAATTTTGATAAAGTAATAGATTGAAATAGAAAAGATGGCAGATATGTGTAGGATAAAATAAAGATGAGGGCATGGTGCTAATCTTAATCTTATTTATTCCTTGAGAAATATTGGAAGCCTTTGTCAGGATTGTGGATAGCATCGATCTTGCCAAGTTTTGTTCAGGATCTTATCTCGAGTCCTAATAATTCGTGTTTACAGCATTTTTCAAGGTTGAATGAAATTCTCCTTAGGGTTTGTTCGAACTGCTGCCCAGAATTTTTCTAAACTAACAATCGAGAATCCTGCCAGCGTTTGCTATCAATCCTGACTAGGACTCTCACAATAATAGCAGACGCGATATTGTCAAGACTTTATCAAGTGTTACTTAGGGCTGACTCTTATGGCATTAGACTACTGATTACTCGCTCGTTTTCCATATATTTTATCGACTTTGATATCAATGTACAATAGTTTGCTTATTTCGAACGTGGATTACATCGGTTCAACCTCAAATAGCTAATCAGTCAGTTCGACAAATCAAAAAATGCAGTTGGTCCTATTGAAGAATTCAACTCCACATTGAAGCTGATTCGTGATTCATCTGCCATATTCTGATTAGTATCGGATACGATCATTACCATGCCAATAGCTTCTCTGTAATGACGATTGCCGATGAAATTTAGTGATTGTACCTGTTGATGTTTGTGGAGTCGGCATGCCACATGATGTTGTGCACCTTCTAGAAAAAGACGAAAACATTAACGGACGTGGAGTATTACTTCGTACTTTGAAAAATTTCCATAGAGAAAACATTATACTTCGTCTTTCTCATTCTCTGAGCACTGAGTCGACGTACTTGAACAATTACTTTTCCCAGAGACATCGATTCTATATGCAATTTTTCGCAAGAAAAACACGCAAATGTAAGTATGAGTCAGTTTATGTAAAAAATATTACAATGTATGATCCAAAAATTGTTAGGAAAAAATAGAGAATGTCCCAAAATCATCATGGGTTTCAGAATTGAATACTGCCACCAGCTTTCAATCAAATGAACCGATTTTTGTCCTAGGGATAGAGTAAATTTTCAAGTATTTATTAATAAGAAAAAGTTCAAGAATACCACTAAAACCTAGCACAAGTTGTTTAAACGCAAAAATTTCAGTTGCATCAGATTCATTTCACGTATTTTTTTTCGAAAACTTTTAATTTTTTTCGCAGTTCTCGAGTTCTAAGTCGTTAAAAGTTACTTTTCGAAGCGAAACTTAGAGAAAGTGCAATGTCCTCAATTAACCTCAATATTAATGCTTTTGATAATTTTTTTTCAGATTCTCACAGGTTGTTACAATTTTCGTAGAATCTTTAGTATTTCCGAGCTTTCGCCAGTTTTCTTAAATTTTCCAGGGTTTCAATGAGTTTTCTTGAATGCTTTTATGCCCGAAGTTTTCGGAACCATCTAGGGTTATCGTTACGCCTTGGTAAATACGTTATCTTCTTGTAATGAAAATTATGTTAGCTAGCTTTTTCATTAGCATTCTTGAGCTTTTCTGTTTAAATATTTGGTTGAAATTTTTCTCTCTTATAAGAAAAAACAGTTCATTTGATTGTAACCAGATGAAGATACTCAGCTTTTTTAATCTTATAATGGAATGGTTTGTATTGTTTGTCAAAAATATTGACAATGCTTGGGTTAAATGATCACTTTCACCGAGAAACTAACAAATTTATAATACGAGTTGCTCATGACTTGCCTTGACAGAGATATTCAATTTTTAAGTTATGCCCATTTTAGTAAAGAACCATAATAATATGCAAATTATTTATATTAATGTTCAAATATAATAATCAAATTTTTTTAGTGAGCTAATTTTCAAAACCTTGCTGAAACCTATTGACAATACTAAGGCTGTTCTAGATTCAACTTTTTCTGAAGTTTAATAGTATCAAATGGGGGAAATATTAACTATTAAATATAAGAAGACGTCATTCATCCATATTTTCGACTTTATTTTGCATGAAAGCAGGAATATACGATAGACACTATTCATATATTATTCTTAACTTGTCTCCATTATTCAGCCTCTTTATTCTATGTCATCAATGGTTTGTTATAACTTCTCAAGACCTTACTGTTAATAATCATTTAGATGCTTCTTTATGCATTCTTTGTGGCGTTGGAATATGTCAACAGTCCTATACATTATAAAGTAATGCGTCAATGCATTTAACTTTTCGACATTGTACGTTTGTTCTTTTCTAATTCGATTTTATTACAGTTCAGAAAAAGTCGAATCTACAGCGACCCTACTGTTGTCAATAGGTTCCAGCAAAGTTTTGAAAATTAGCTCACTATAAAAATTTGATTATTATATTAGAACATTGATATAAATAATTCGCATATTATCCTGCTTCTATACTAAAATGTGTATAACTTAAAAATTGAATATCTCTGTCAAGGGAAGTCATGGACAGCTCATATTTTACAGTTTTTAGTTTCTCGATGAAAGTGATCATTTAACCCGAACATGGTCAATCTTTTTGACAAACAATACAAACCTTTCCATGGTTATTTTTTTTTTTGGATCTTGATGAATTCTCGCATTCCCTCATGATCAACTTTTGTTACCTTCTTTATGTCACATCTTAAATAATTTATTCTACAAATTCATCAGCTTCTATTAGGATTCAGGACCTGCTTTGTCCTCCTTGTCTGAGATTATACCGGTACACCTCTATGGAAGCGTCTAGATACATACTAAATCCAATTTCAGTGGAATCCAAATCCAATTTTTAGTTAAGATTTGACTAATTTTGAGGTTGTGTTTTACTGGATATGGATTTAGTTGACTCACAGAAGCGTTTCGAAAATTTATCAAACAGAACTATTTTTTAACATTGAAAGAAGTTCTCCAAATTATTTCTGCCTGACTAATATTGAGCATCCAAATATAAATGTATTCATCGAAATAGAAAATTCAATTATAAAACTAAATAAATTAGCATATTTACATATGAATAAATAGCTTTTGGAATAGCACTTGGTTCTTTCATATATGTGTGATCGAGAACCTTGACCAAATGGATTTATCAGTCATCATAGTGTTCGAGTAGAAAGTTTTTTGGTTGATATATTTTGGAAAATAATTCTTGAAATCACTCAAAGTGAACATATAAGTCGAGACTATCGATCGTATCTGATTATTGCAAATAAGCAAGCAATTTAATAACTTACTAATGAATAATTTTCGTTCAGGCAACATTGTTACTGTAGAATAATGAGTGCGAGAGTGCTGAATCTTGCCAAGGGTCTTCCGTAATTTCTGTCGTGGACGCCTTATTTTCAAAACCTCATTTTGAATATGATTACTTATCTCTTTAACTGTTGAATTTACCATATGGTTTGTTTTTCTATTAGCTTCATCTATGCGTATAACTCGATATTCTGCAGTCCGTACTTCAACAAAATTTTCTTCACTTGTTGCCGATGTTTCGACGTCATTATCATGTTGTATAATAACTTGAGACATAAGCACTACACCTGTTTTTTCAATTTCTGTTACGTCATTAATTGAATTTTCATTAGCATTGTGTACAATAACTGGAGACACTAGTAGTGCTTTTACTTCTTCAATTAGAGCTACATCACTAATTGCATCTTCATCAGCGTGTTTCATAAGGGTATCAGACTCAGGCAGTGGGCCTGATGTTTCAATTGGTATTAAATCAATAATTGTATTGTCATTATGAAGTTGTACAATAATTTGAGACAAAAATACTGAACCTGCTTTTTCAATTTCTGTTACGTCACTAATTTGATTTTCACTAGCATGTTGTACAATAGCTTGAGGTACTAGCAGTGAATCTGGTTCTTCAATGGTTGTTACGTCACTAATTGCATCTTCATCAGCGTGCTTTATAGTAACATCATACTTAGGTACTGAATCTGATTTTTCAATTTTTTCTACAGAGCCGATTGAAATAGATGACACAGGTGAGGATGCCGAAGGTACTGGATAGGGAAAAGTTGGAGAAGGATTCTTTATTTATAACAAAAAAAATTCTAGGTGAGAAGTTCCGAAAACCATAGTTTCTTGTAACTTGTTCCTTACAGTTTTAATTGCCAGAGATTTTGAAAAATCAATGTTCTACAAGACATACCTACCTGTGAACAAAGGAGAAAGGAAACTTCTAGACCGCTATTAGTATCGACTTCTTCCAGTCTTGTAACAATTGATTGCAGCAGAGCCGTACAATAAAAAAAATCTGATTAACTCAGTTTCCAGCTGAAAAAAACTGGTTGAACAAAGCGGAATCGCGAAAACATTTCACTCACACAAACCTCAGCTTGATAAAAATCTCATTGGGCAAGAGCGAGAAAATGAGAAGATTTCATTGCTGAAGCTCTTGCGCAAAAACCTTATTGGACAAGACTCCGTCAGCGAAAACATGTGATTCACTGGATTTCCTGCCTGAGAAAATCTGATTGGTCGAAAGCTCAATATCGAAAACCCTGATTGGCTGGATTTTTGGCATGGAAAAATCCTATTGGCTGCAAGCCCAATATCGAAAACCTCTGATTGGATGGATTTTTGGCATGAAAAAATCCTATTGGCTGAAAGCCCAATATTGAAAACCCTCGTTGACTGGATTTTCGGCATGGAAAAATCCTATTGGCTGAAAGCCCAATATCGAAAATCGCTGATTGACTGGATTTTCGGCATAAGTGTCTGATTGTTGAAACGCCACATATCGAAAATTTCCTCAAAGCAGATGTTTTTTTGAATCTGATGTTCTTTTGACCCTGACACACACACACACATACAAACGATTTTTTTTCATATGACCCTCCCTACAGTCGAGGGAACAATCAGTTAGTAATTAATTAATAATTAATTAAAACTAACCTCAGATTCGAATTCCCCACCCTCGATTATCCTTTGGTCAAGTTTCATGCAGAAGCGGATGTTTTTTTGACCCCGATGTTCTTTTGACCCTGACACAAACAAACATACAAACTATTTTTTTCATATGACCCTCCTTTCAGTCGAGGGAATAAGAAAATAGGCTGGTTTAATTTTTTTTGTTGACCACACATGCTACACATGCATATATTTCATTTTTAAAAGAGAGAAAAGAAAAAAAATTTCGATATCGTGTTATTCCAGAGAAGAGAAGTAACCTTATATGCTGAATATGATATCTTAATATATAGTATTACAAGTGATAGTTTCGGTATACCATAGAAAGATTTGAATGGCATTATTATTCATTTGCTCATTGCTGTATTGTAGTGTACAATCAAATTAGAGTTAACTTTCTTAAACGTGTAGTACAAGTATGAGTGCGGGTGTGTGTATGGTTGTTATAGTCTTCATCATAGGGTGTGGGTATGATTTGAGGATATACTCAACAAGCAACCATACTCACAATCCCATAACCAGACCCCATCAAAGAAATATCTAAGCGTTCTTTTATTTCGATGTATCCGCTAGATTTGTATTTGTATGAAAAATTCTACTCTTAGGTGTATTTATTCAAACAACCCCATCTTGGCCAATGAGCTATATAGAATCTAACTAAAACATTCAGTCAACCATTCATTTTATTTCTTACAGAAATTTGTGATCAAATCCAAAACAAAAATAATACTCAAGAGAATCCGGTGCAGCAGTTTTACTGTGGTTATATATTTTATGCCTTTACAATCTCAATTGATCCCTGAAAGTAATTTATTTTATGTCTTCGTTGTTATTCATACTTGTTCTTAATACATGCAAAATGACTCTAAAACTACTCGATTCTAGAATACAAGATTAAGAAACATCGCTATCAACAAGAGTCATTTAGTCTTGATAAAAAGACTGAAGCAAGTGTGAAATTATGTTTTCTATTCAACAATTAACGAGAGATAGATGAATCATTCCAAAGTTTCATATAGAAACTTCTATTGCTGTACACAATCAAAATACGAACGATAGTTATACTTGATCTAGTGTGGTCATTTGTTCAACGAGTGCATTTTTGTTCAAAGTCATAATTCATTCTGTAGATAAAATGAAATTAACATTGTAAATGGTATCTATAGGTCATACAAACATTATACACAGAACATTGTCAACATTTGTTAAAAATTCTTTACGACTGTTACATTTGTTAATCGATTTTATTACTATTGCCGGTATAAATTGCTGTAACAGCAGTGTGAGGGTCATATTGTTCTGAAAGCAAATACAGTATCGGATTGCGAGAAATATTATTGGAAATAACTAATCAATTCATTGACGACCCTGCTTTTACAAGGTTCATTCAATACATTCGATATTCAGCCAGAGGTAAATTTTCAGTTAGAATGATTTTCCAATACTAGATTTATGAAGTATCGTTCCAAAAAATCATTCACGTGTAACTCCGATCCAAATAGTTGAAAAAGTTTAGGAATTGTGTAGTTTGATTGAACTACTAGAATAGAACAAAGAAAAATTTCGGAACTTTGCAACGATCTATTACATAGAGCAACGTGCAGTATTTACTCGTGTTGTTAAGCATTGAAGAGATTTTTTATGATGAATATTTCACGTATAAAACATAATTGGTATTGATGCTCACAGCTCATTCACAATGCTTATTTAAATTAGCTTCTGTGTCTCTGAAACGTCCATTGGACAAAACAGGAAGTCTCACAACGTTTATTCAATCAGTAAGACGATCGATTACAGTAAAACGTTGCTGAGACAAAGATTATTGATTCAATTTCATATTCTTTTACCCAATGATAATTTTGAATAAATTGAAAATATTGCCCTGATCTATAGTTATCGTAACGAAAGAGATCTTTAAACTACCATAGTCTTTCTTAGTTAGTGTCCCTAACTTGATTTTTATCACGACTATACATTGGTGTAAATAGTTACTAGTTCTTTATTTTCTTTTGATCCATAGACTGAAACAAACGTTACCTAGACCATACTATTGGTCACCCGGTTACGATTAGTATTATGCTGGGAAGCCTTTTTTAGGGGATTCATTGAGAAGCCTGGTTGTCAACACCATTTCTGAACAAATATATCATGTTCGGCAATGATGTCTTGGTCGATCCTCGCTGTTTTGATCAGATTTATATGATAAATCACCCTATTCTAGGTTCTCAAAAGTGATTTTCTAAGAAACTATCTCGTGGCTCTCTTCAGGTAGAGCTCGATCATTACTAAAAAAGTCATAGAAACATGATTACGACTGATGACCATTAAGTTCGCTCTCAAAAAACGATGTTAGGGCGGGTACATTGACACCTTATGAAATTTTGAGGATATGCTAAAGTTGTAACACGAAGGCTATGGTCAAATTTCCAGCTTCTTACCATGGCGTGTGAGCAAGGTATTCATCAAACAAGAGTAAAACAAACTCATTTCGTCTCAAAAAATTCTCTGTAATCTTCATGCTATACATTTAGTCTTTTTTTTTGTTTGAAAAAGCCTATCGAAATGCGGTGTGTATGAGAGCTCATTTTTATAAACTCTTATTTTTCGAGCGGAGAAAAAGACTGGCAAGTTCAATCACTTGAAAAACTCTCGAATAATCTGGAAAGACTCAAAAAATGGGCACTTGTAGGCGCTACAGTTTTACACGCTCTTTCAAATATAAAAAAGCTATTGACTGCAATGGAGCTTCTTCGAGATCTCTAGAATGCGCGATGGAAAACCTATAATACGGGAAAAAACGAAAAAGACTTTCAATTTTATTCTAACAACAGCTTATTTTTCGGATAGGAGATGAGGATGTGCACGTGGGACAATACTCACCCATACGGCACCGATGTTAGTTTGCCTGATACAAGAATATGGGTGTGTGAAGCCTAGTATCTTTACTGCAAATATTCATTTATTGATTATTTCAATATTTGAAAAGGTTTTCAATAATCTCATTCAACTTCCAGAACTGACACTACTCGGACGTGGCTGCGAATGCCGATGCTGATTGGTGCTTTCCATGTCGGTGTCAGTGTGCTTGTGAGTGCGTATGACATTGTGACGTTGGTTGTGTGCTGAAGATTTTTATGTGAACGACAGCGTCACGTATTTGTGGGGAGTGTGGATGTTATTAAACCTTTGATTGTCCAACATCGAGTTGTCTATAGGCGAAGATACAATTGTGAATAAATGTGTTCATATGAGCGATTGCATTGGAGTGCTTTTAGTAAGGGTGTCAGTGTAGGTGAGGCTGTCTAATACGAATGTCAGTATCGGTCTAGGCCATGCTTTGAATGCCAGAAGTTGATCTCCTGATTCACATGATCCTTACCACGAATCGCTCTGTATTGATAAATCTACGCGTTCGAATGACGACGTGGCTACGAATTCAGATGCAGCTGTATATTTGGCTGTATCCTGTTCCTTAATGGAAAGGTTCAGAGGTTTATAGACCGTAAGCATATGATCTTCTCGGAAGAGTTATGAGGGTATACTTAACTTTTTAGATATATAACTATCCGTTTTTTTGGATATTCATGTCGTTACACCAAATTCACTCAAAATCCTCACTATTTAAGGATATATCGATGTTTTAGAAGTTTGATATCTAAGTTTCGGATATTATGACATCCCTTGAAGAAGACGTTGATGTCCTATGATAATATTATTCGAAAGTGTCATTTGTTGTATTTGAGTCAAAATAGTGAATTCATTGTGTACTTCTACATGCTTGTTTCAGAGTCTTCCACTATTTGATTAGAAAATCATTTCTAAAGCGTTTTCCTACACCTGCGGCATATCTGAAAAAACTCCGCGAACCAACCTATTTCTGTTATCGATATAATATTACATTTCAGATTATCTATGGCTATGATTGCTTGGTATTTGCTATGTTTTGTTGTCATTATTCAAGTTCATCTAAGTTTTGTCATTGTTCGAGCTATGCCAATGATCGTGAAAGTTTATGGAATGAATGAAGTAGCCGTGATTGGCCATTCGAACCCGGACACAGACTCTATTTGTACAGCACTTGGATATGCTGCTTTTTTACGATTTCAAAACGTAAACGCAAAAGCGTATCGTCTTGGTGATCTCAATAAGGAAACGCAATTTGTACTCGACATGGCAGGAATACAACAACCTGACATGTTACCTGAAGATATTCCTGAGGGAAGTGAAGTTGTATTGGTCGATCATAATGAGAGTGAGTAGAATCACTTTAATAAATAAGAATATGATATAGAATTTCATACAATACAGTTATTGAAGATGCCACTTTATATTAGACAAACATACTATTCAGTTTCTATAAAAGTACGGTGACTATATTCGACAAAATGACATATTGAAAAACCAAGCAATAGAGATGAGATTCGAACGTTGTTAAATTTTCGGTCTACATATGATATCGCATTGCAACCGTTAGGATTCCATTAAACTTAAGGAAGACGGAAAAAATTTCATTTTAGAACTATTGAATGCACCTTATGTATTCAGACAGACATTAGATGAAAACGTGAAACTGCAACTCTTGAAGATATCACTAATGAGTTTTGTATATAGTTACTTCAAAGTATTCTTTTATCTGGTGGCTGTGCTGTCAAACTTATATAAACTTGATTTAATACTCTACCCTATGTCCTCTCTTATAATTGTTAAAAAAAAAGCAGAAGTGATCGTCAATCGTATTTCAGGTTTTCTGCAAAAACAAAAGGAATTTTCTTTTTTAAATTTCCCAATTTGATCAAGTTTCAATAATATCTATATTGGCTAAAAAAAAGCATGATTGTAATCCATATTAGGAAGTGCAACGAACAATTTCGTGTACAAAATACTATTTGTCAGCAACAATTTTCCCTTGACAACTTCTCGTCAGAACAAAAGACTTCGCTTTCTTGCAAATAATACTTTTCAACATGACTTTCAGCGTCAGATGCACTAATCTTCGAGTCCATAGTCGATAATGAAAGAAGCTCAATTTCTGATTGTTATATGAAAAGAACAATTTGTTGATCGATAATCGATCTAAATGATAGACATACAATAGTTACGTAGATTTTCGAGTTATTTCATTGCTGTTGAAAAAGTCAGTAGTAAATAATAAAGTGGATATTCGAATGACTCGTGTGATTGATAAGAGAATTCTTTTCAAATCTTCGTATGCTGTTACAAAAAAAAATGCTATGTGATGTATAGTTTATCATCGATCATTTTTTCAGTTGTCCACAAAGTTGAAATATTGATATTGTCATGTACATACTATTTTACTGGATAATTTTTTAGGTCAACAGTCGATGAAAAATTTGATAAAGATGAATGTCATTCATGTTATCGATCATCATAAACTTGGCGACTTGACCACGTCTACACCAATCTATATTCGCTTTGAACCAGTTGGATGTACAGCCACCATTTTGACTAAAATGCATATTGAAAATAACGTGCCCATAGATCAAACAACAGCCTTTCTCTTGATCAGTGCCATTATCAGTGACACGCTACATTTTCGGTATGTATCAGAGACATAAACAGTAAAATTAATATTAGCAAACGCGCTCAAAAGGAAAATTTATCCCAGAAGGAAGTACAAAGAAAACAACTTGATTCACATAAACCACAGTTTGATGAACTTTCCCAGAAAATTTTCTCTATACTCTCGTCTATTGCTAATGTTCCTTCATTGAGTCTCTGTCACACCTTACGGTTGCGCGAAAAGCTAGAATCAAAAGATATCTGATCTATTCACCAACGAAGAAAACACGCACACAATGATTAAAATCTCTCTCTCTCTCTCTAGATATATATATATGTTTGAGTTCAGGTTACAATTCATTTTAGTTGCCAATCGTTCTAATTTATGTTAAAACGTAAGCATTATAAGTTGGAATATTCGATGATTTTTACCAAAAACGTTTTTCACAAAGACTACATCTAACTTCTTCTATATATGGACGAGAATAGTGAACGAAGAAACTAAAAACGAAGTATTCAACTATTTTAACATTTGAAACACTTATGTTCCATACTTCTATATTGATACAATCGATTTATATTCTCGTCATGAAAACGATCGAAACTGTTGGTTTTCCAAAAAACAGCTTTGGAAAAATTTTGCTTGTGATACTGTAATCATACTAATTGATCAAAATATGAACAGTTTCAAGTCGTATATAAGCATAACAACATCAGTTCTAAAAGTAGGAACAATAATCAATGAAGGTTTCTATAATTATACTTTAGTTCGTGCCAGATTGTATCTCTTTCGAAATGTCCAAAAGCAGTGAGACAGTCAGTGATTTTGTCCAAAAGATTTTTCAAAGGCTACAGAAAACCCGTATTTTGAATAGTTCAGTATCTCTTGATAGCCTACTTTAAATAGATGAAAGCGCTGTTACTCTCAGAATTTGAATTGTGCCTGATATTTGTCTTCTCTTCAGTTCAAGAGCTGCAATATTTAATGGTATATTTAACAGTTGATCATTATTTATTCTTGTTCTTTTTCTCATATCGCGCGGTTCCACGCATACATTCACTGCAATATAATATGTCGGACCCATGTTGGTAAATACAAACATTTCTTGTAATGAAAAATGAATTGATCATTCCTTAAAGTGTATTTTGTAACTTATTAATACAAAGTTCTGCCGAAGTTAAATTAGGATAATTTGAGATAATAGAAAATCTAATAACTTACTCATTCCTATCGTATTAATCGGAGAAAAGAAAAGGCTTCCTACTCTTCGAAATTTATATTCTCATACTTGATTTGATAGTCACATCCAGCTTTGATAGTGATAGAAAGTTAATACGCGTGAAACAGTCTTCTAGAGATTCTTGTTTCTTTTTGTCGTCAATATTAAGTTTGTACTACTTTACTGTTACAATTCATATCATGAGCGAACAAAAAATTCAAATAGGCATTCACTCGACTTTTTTGTTCCATAAACATCGGGGTTGAAACCAATCCACTTCTTGCATAAAAATCGTTTCTGGATGAGAAAATCTCGTAGCTTATAACAGGACATGACTTCTGCAATGTCTACAACGATTGCATAACATGAAATTATGATCCACAGATTATTTGAGAGCAAACGAATTCCATGCTAAGAAAATACATAGGATTTTTCGTTACGAATATTTTTAGAAATTCCTGAAAACTGGATGCATGTGCGAGTAATACTGTCATTTTTCGACATTTTTCAATTTGCTACTACTATTTTTTTTTTGAAGAGAAATAGGCAGAAAACTGGTTTTTGTACAACAAATGTCGAGAGTGAATAGCGAATACACACTAAGAAAAAAATGTTTGGCTAGATTGACTCAAACAAAAGTCAGATTTATTCTAAAAAAATCGTTGAAATAGCATAGTACAATTGGTATGCAATTCGTCTACATATGTTTAGTGTAAATGAACTGTATCTCAAAGCTATACATATTGCGAATAATGGAATCCGAACTAAGACGATTTTGAATTGAACTGAATTTTTATCTAAACTACTATATATATACGATATGTGTACACATCTAATATGTATATGTTTGTAATACAGTGTAAAACCTGTTCTCGATGAGTTAAAAACAATGAACAATCAACTTATTAACTCTCTTGCTATGAAAATATGTGATTCAAGTAAAATTATCAACTACAGTAAAACCTCTCATAGTGGACACCTCTTTATAGTGGACGCCTCCGTATAGTGGACACTTCGTAGTCCGACGGAGCGATTTTTGCTGGAATTGAACCTCTACATAGTGGACACCTCCCTAAAGTGGACACCTCTCTATAATGGACACTTTTTCACGGTCCCTCTCGCATAAAATACCTCTCTATAGTGGACAGTCCGTTCTCAATTGGACAAAAAATATCGTGATGACTGCCATCAAGCATACGAGATAGTGATTTCTCTGAATGAATCAGACGGACTAATCATAGAAAAAAAAATGATATGTTCGCTATGTTGAATTGCCGAGAGAGATATAAGGGCATTGTTGCCGTCATGTCATTTTGTTATCATCACAAGAGAAAGAGAACATTGTGTCGAAGCGACAAGAGTGAACATAGGAAAATGAAACTGCGCTGATACAAGACAAAACAAAATGGTCGTAATTGTTCAATACGAAAACTAGTGGACAAATACGATATGTTAGAAGTTGTGTCGTTATCAATTCCTACTGCAGAAAATTCTTTGATTGTGTTACAAGTTGAAGAGAGTTATTAAACGAATGCATTGACGAAAGTGAACAAATAGGACTCAACGAGAAATTATTTAAATTATTGTCAATTTTTTCTATTGCAATACTTGAAAGAAAATTAAAATAGAAGTAATAATTTGCTCTTGACAATCATGTTATTCACTAATTTTTCAGATACCTAGAGATATGCTAGTTTCTTCGAAGAACTTTTCCTATTCGAAGACACATGACCTCTCTATAGTGGACACCTCCATATAGTGGACAGTTTCGAAAAGTCCGATGGGTGTCCACTATAGAGAGGTTTTACTGTATATAGATTTTTATTTTTATTTATGGAATTTTCATGTGTCTTCTATTCACATTCAGAATTTAGAACAGCGAAAACGAGAAATGTCAATAAATTCTGAAAATTAAAAAGAATCAGAATGTATGATGCCTGTGCTCAAGCGTTCTTGAAGTTTCCCATATTAGCCTCATCCGTAACTACACTGGCAATCTTTGTCCATAGTAAAATCGTCAGTCAATTGATTTTATACTAATTATGTCATATGTGTCAAATAAGAAGGGAAGATATGATATTCAACGTTTATCTTTTGAAGTAGATAGGTTCAACAATCATATTTTTAATCGTGTCTATTAATCAATGTTCTGTAAGTACATAGTGAGAAAATGATCCCACTTCCATTGCCTGACGACTGCTTCATCAGACATCGCGAACATTGCTTTCAGTATCTATCAAAATATATAATAGACACAAGAAAATGTCTGTGATGGGATGTTTTTGTTCTCCATTAGAGGAATTTCCGTATGTTTTGCATTTGAATTCTGCAGAGACTGTTCTGAAAACTTTTGTTTGAGTGAAATGAGCTTCTCATCGTGAACAAGTCACTTAATTTCGTTGAGTATTATCTAAACATACAACATAATCTTGAACAGACTCAAAGAAAAACAAGATCAGAACTATGGCTAAGCTCTTTATGAGTTTCTCTTTTCAAACAATTATTTATACCAATACAACGAGTTGAAAGTGTTACTCTAATTCGAAATGATGATTTTTCTTTCAAAATACATTAATCTGATATTTTAAGATAAATTTAAATAATAAAAAGAAACTAATCTATCTTATAGATCAGTTACAACAACCAATGATGATCGAAATATTGTCAATTATCTTCAACCAATTGCCAACATTTCTGACATTGAATCCTATGCTAATAAACTATTTGAAGCCAAAAGTGACTTGACAGGATTCACAACACAACAGATTCTTCTTCTCGATTATAAAACATCTGTTTTCAATAATCAAATATGGGGTATTGGTGTAGCCGAAACATGGCATCCAAGTTATCTACTCGAACATCAAGATGATTTGCTTCAAGAAATGGCTAAAGAAAAGATCAACAGTAACTTGACCGGTATACTATTCTCAATTATCGATATACTCAAAGAGAAAAATTTGATGTTAATTCCTGGTGAGCCTGAAAATACTGTCATACGAGCAGCATTCAATGTTGATGATGTAGTGGATCAAATAGCTGACTTGGGACCAAGAATGAGTCGCAAGAAACAAATCATTCCACCACTCGAAGAATATTTCAAAAATAATCCTTAAAAGTACTATCATGCTATCGCATCAGGAAGAATTGAACACTAAACTGAACATTTGAGCATTCTTTTTTTTCTAGTTATTCAAATTCAACAATAATAAACAAGATCAGCTATTTCTGTATGCTTACGAAAAATATTCGAGAACTCGAATGTAGGTGTGGTTACGGTAAAGATCATCATCTACATCCACACTCACCCATCCTTGTTCATTAAATCCCTAATTAAGGTACATCTAAGGACCATGATACTTCGTTGTTTGAGATTTTTGATAATCGTGGTTGAATGTATTATATAGAGATAAACAAAACTGCTTATGGGTGTCTGAAATATCTCAAAAACGCTAATAGAAACTTCGCACAAATAAGAAAAAAAGAATTTTAGTAATAATCACCACTACAGATATTATAATTTTGATGGTAGAATTCGATAAAATTGATTCAAGTTATTAATGATATATCACCACACAGAATATAGTTGTCCACTTCATATTCTTTTATCATTTGTGATAATTATGACATGAATACATGATGATTGCGTAACCTTTAGGTAGTGACATGAAAAATAAGAATAATATAATTTTAGACACTGCATTGTCTACAACTGCTTCCATTCTTTATTATTCGACCTGGAAGTGATTCAGAATGTTCAAGAACAGTTTTCATAAAAGTACCCAAAAATAGAGCGTCAACGGTCTTGTTTACATACTATAAATGGCATTCCCATTAATATCTCCACAAACCCTCTGTAATTGAATAAAATTCTATGGATTGGTCTCTCATGCCAGTACTCACGGGCTTCAGCAACAATCGAATTCCATTGGAATCGACCTAAATCATGTTCTATCGATTTTTGGTCTTTTACTGCTAGAGTCAGTCCATACGTATTGACCTGACTAAAGATGCTGTATTTTATACGTCTGAAGACGTATGTGAAACGTCCTGTGTGATATAGGCTCTGTCAAAATTAAATATAGTTTTATTGCAAGTATTAGTATTGAGATCAGAAGATGTGCATAAACCTTTTATAAATCAAAGAAGTACTACAATAGTTAGTTTTCTATAACAAGAATCCTAACACTATCTTTAGTTTTTCGATTATATGGAAATCGTTTCATCAAAAATATTGATGGTCAAATATCGAACTTTTAGAAATTTCGATCTTGCCGTTGCGGTAATCCAAATTTTTCTTTCAACAAGTGCTCACAATAGGCATTATGTAAGAATAAATTCAATTCAAGATAATACAATTTTTAGTCGTGATTCGACATCGAACAAAAGATGATCTTGCTTGAATTTGTATGGTCATCGTTAGTTTGAGTAGTTAGACGTTTTCAATAATAAAAGATAAGAATATTAATATAGAAATTAATAACATTAATCTATTTCCTGATTCATTCCTGACATTATTTTTGCGATGCAGTCTCTTTGCTTCCATAAATTGCCCTTTCAGTTATTGTAGTAGGTGAAACAGTAAACACTTTTTTGTTCAATCAGATTGAGGCTAGGCAGGCTGTGTATCGATATCAATGTTTCCTCCTTGCTACGTGCACATTCACATCCTATATCAGAATTAGTCCTAAACAACAACGTTGAAAGAGTGAGCAGCATGGATTCTTCTTGGGATAATAATTCTGTTTACTACTGTAATTTTTCAACTAAAGAAAATAGTTGAAAAATTCTGTTGAACAAATTCAATCTTTGTGATTCCGTTCATTTGCCAACAATGGTTTTTAAATCAACAATACAGAGTAAATCATTGACTCTACTTGTTTGTACAATAAAATGTTCATCATATGTTTTTGCCAATATTTGCAATCACAGTGACTCCATCTTGTTCACCTACTGTCGATGTTGCAATTTCAAGTACAATCTGGACTATGACAAATATCATCAATAGCCTATATATCTACAGAATATTTTCATGGACATCATTAAAAAGCGACTCCATCGCGTTTGCTATTCAACTTCCGAATGATCCAAGTTATTCGTACATGAACGATGTATTTGGTTTACGATGATGGTACGTAAATGTTGATCAATGTGAACTTCGAGACGGGCTAATTATACTCTTGAATGAAAACAGAACCAAATGAATCTTGCAGTATGTATCCAGCAATAGTAATGAACTTATTCAATGCACTTCGAACAGGTAACTACGATTTATTAAATAGAAATCTAGGATGTTATCATTATTAACCGGAATATATGCACATATTTTTATCATTTGATTCTCGATTACATAAAATTGACACTTTTCATGACAAAATGAACTGAAATTTTATTCCAACTAAATGAAACTTTTATTTTTTTTCGTAAAAAAACTCTTCATCGAATATATAATCAGTTTCTCTTTTCGTAGTCTTTGACATTCTAAAGAATTAAATAAAACATAAATTAATACAAGATCGTATGCCATGATCTCATACAGGTTTTAACAGTGAATTTGATAGTGCTATCTTTAGTATGAATGAAGACGTTTCGATGAATGTCTAAGGGCAAAATCTAAACCTACTGTGAAAAGTGATCAACATAGTAAGATATGCTATGGTTGTTAAGTCGATGGAATTCAATGAAATAAATGATATTTTTTTAATCAATGGAATATTCATCAATATTCTAATGTCGTGCATGATTTAGTACAGAAGATATTGTAAATTTGTTGATATTTATTTTCCTATCCAGATGTAATTGTAAACGAAAAAAACTATTTCGAGTAATACTCAAATGCTATATTTATTTTATTCAAAACAAAGATATATTCGATTGGTTTGAATTTTTCCCATTTAGATTTTAATTTTCTCTGAGGATTATCAAAAGATAGACTGTTGCATTGAGATTCATTGAAATCATGAGTGCAATAAAAAGAACTATTTAATCATATTTAGATACACCTTAAGAGTACAAACTGTTGAAGATAAGACATGCTCCCACAATAACTGTCTGAGGTACTTTTTTTATTCTAACTTTGAAACATTGTGAATATTTAGTGAATTTTGATTTTTCATACAAAATTTGCATAATTGTCTTTTTTAGAGGACATGTTTCTTTTTTCTAGTGTATTGAAGATAAGTGACTCATCATACAGGTGATACTAATCACATATATATTGATATATTCGTTGCATTTTTCTGTTCTATAAGAGAGTCAGTTTCATTGATAATAGCGACGATGTCACCACAAAAACGAAATAAATGCTACAAAAATATTGCACGTTGTTCATCTACTCTTTATCATGTCAAAACAAATAATCTTGGCGCACTTGGTCAGGGACGTTCATCAATTTATTCTACAAGTAGGTTTATATTCTATTGATCTGCACAAACAAATAACCAATTTTCATTATTTTCACGTTTTTTACCATATTCTGCTTCATATATTGCGCTTCAGTACACACATGTATGTAGAAAGCTATTACGAATTTAAGCATGCTTTGATTTATTTATTGTTTTGTTTTGGTTAAGTATACGATGAGAGAATAGCACAATATGCATCTGTTTAGTTATACAATCATATATACATATTAGCTATTCGAACATTCAATACTGAAAAAAACTCGTTATCAAAAAAATTTAACTTTATTTTCTTCAGAGATGTTGATAATGACAAAAGTTATTTCAAAATAGATTTATGATTTTGAATTTTTCATGAACGAGTGAATTTGAGTTTAGAAAATATAGTAGTCACTGAATAAAAACTATTATTATTTTAAGCGATTGATCTCAATAAGAAGAAGTACAGAATACAAATATTTTTTTATCTAAACTTTCAACTTATAAAGAGTAAAATCTCCTTGTCAGCCAACTGGAATTTTTTTCTGGGGTCATGTCATTGAAAAAATTCGCTTCAAAAGCGTTTCTTCTAAAATCTCAATACAGAAATAAGTGTTCAACACATATTGTCAAGGGCAAATTAGAGGTGTTACGTTACCAATAGTAGTATTAAGTAATAGCTAATAATCTTATGACGTATTATTAATAATTAGTAATCATATAAATGATAACCCAAAAACGTAACAAAGTAATACACAAAATAAGATAATAAGAAAAATTCTAACAATCGAGTGGATTTATTTTTTTACACACTAAAGTGTTATGACAACGGATCATCTATAAAGGGCATCGAAGTGAATGGGATAGGAAAGTCAAGCATTTCTGAATATTCAAACTCATACCATGAATATTTTCCTTTTTTCCCCACAACTTTGTGCGAAGCTTTGAAGTTTAATGTGTTTTCAAAAGTATTTTAAACTATGAACTTAATGAATCTGTTGAAGACGAATCTGATATTGAAATATTTGAAGATTATACTACATTGGCACTAGCAATGGTGCCAGAATTTTTTGTCAGATGAGGGAGGCTTAGCACTTCTCAAATCTCTTGCGCAATCACAGTTAGTAACAACTTTAAAAACATTTCGGAGATACTCAGAGAGTTTGATAGGGCTCAGCTTTCCTTTTTCTCCTAGTGACGTTGCTGCTAAAGGACAGTTGGTTATTTTGTGAAGCAGTAATGTGAACTTCGTTATATTTTCGAACGTCATTAGTACTGAAATTCTTTTCTTTTTCTATTTTTTTTTCTATTTTCTGCTCATTAAAACACAATATATTTAGAAAAAACATAAAACTTCGCATTAGATCAGATTTGTTTATGAAATACATACTTTTATGATTTTTATTTTTGTTATATATACTTAACAACGAAGATCGAAGAGACTTTAAAAACCTCCATACGAGCGGAGCAAGAAGAATAAAAAATACGTTTTTTTCTGAACGACCTTCACGAATGACCCTCAATGTGAAATTTTAGTTTATCAACATTGACTTCTCTGAAATGTAGAACATTCACTTTATCGTATAATATTTTAAGTCTGCTTCATGAAAACAAAAAATTACGCATCTCTTTGCTTGGTTTATACAATTTTCATTACTAATAACTTTAGGCTATTCCATTGCATACTACTTTGAAAAGACGAAAGTTTGTTTTATCGACAGAAAAATTCAATTATA